AGCCGGTTTTATTAGGTGGAGTTAGGCCCAATATTCCTAACATGGTATCAGAGCTAGGCCCAATTATGCAATGTTGGGTGCCACCCAATATCGATTTGTTCATAGTTGTTTGGTATGGTCCACGCTGTGCGTGAGGAAGCGTATTTGTTCACAGTTGTTTGGCATGGTTGGAAGGTGCTTTAAACTGAGAACTTGGCGAGGCTAAGATAGATGCTCCAACTTCGTAAGAATAACTTCTGCAAGGTTGACTGCCCATTAGTCTTAGTTGCACAATAATATTGGTTGCAGATGGCCTCTACTTCTACTAACAGCACCTTATCTGATTGATTATTTACAGGGAAGGCTAAGATTCGGAAGATGTCTCGTGATCTTCAAGTAAAATATGAGTTGCTTGAATTAGCAAGTAATACGGTATTACTATTTTCTTCCTTTTCGACTGCTGATGGTTGATTCGACTGCAATGTTTTTTCTCCAAGTCTTCTTTCATTCTGGAATTCCTCAAGCCATTATTGTAGTTTTCTTTGATAGCTTATCTAAATTATTTTTGTGGTACCACGGCTTGGGATGCCGTTGGTCGCCGCAAGGTACCTGCTGAGTGCAATTTGGTTTCACCAACGAGGCTTCGTCTTCTAATGGGCGTCAACATTCGTTTCGTGGCTTCTGGTTGTGGTGAGAATATATTTCACAACTTTGTTTTGTTTTAAGTATGTATTGGTTTTCATTCATTTTGATGAAGTGGTACTTCTTACTAAAATGACTTGAAAGGAGGTTCTTGATTTAGTTTTATTTCTTCTTAGGTTTAGTTTGTTTGCACCATTTTTGAATTGAATGGGTATTTGCTTATCCTAATGTGCTAATATGGAATGTAGCGTCTTTCCATTGTGTGGGCGCTGCTACACATGGCGTCGTAATGAGGCATGTTAAGTTGCTAAATGTGGCTATTATTTGTTTCTATCATAGTGCTGGTCCTTCCATTTCTTCGTTTTTATTGCATTATCAATTAAGCAGATTCACAACTGTAACATGCGCAGAAGGGACAGCTTGGTCATGGAGATACAATTCAGCGTGATAGACCAACAATTGTTTCAGAATTGATCAAGTCAATTGTTGTGTTCTTTTGTTTCCCTTTTAACTTAGATGCAGTAGTTACTAAAATTTATCATTGAACCTAGGTTTCAGCTCGAGGTTACCACTGCTGATTCTTAGAGTTGCCTTGCTTTTATTTACGTGTTTATGTTTTGTTGACATTTTGTTATGCTGCCCTAATGGAATCTTAGAAGTTACTTTTCTATGTTGAACGTCTCCCACTAATGGGCTATGTTGAGCGTCTCCCACTAATGAGCTTAAGTCTTGTAGCACAATTGTCATACTAGTTTTGCAATTTTTATGCTTTTCAGTTGAGATGACTTATTTGACAAAACGACATATTAATTTACATGTTTGAATGCCCAATTGTTATACTGCATAATAAACATTCATGTCATATGCCACGAACTTGATTTCATGAAGCAATATCTTCCGAAAGTATTCCATGATTTTCTCTGTTTGCACGCATCATAAACATGATACATATTAATGAAAAAATATAAGGTTTTAACTACAATACTGTTTCACTTTTACATGGATGATGAAATTTGTCTTCCGGTGCTTCATTGATGTTTGTTTCATTAAGCTTTTATAATCACGCTATTAAGTAGCCAACTATGCCGGTAGCACGTGCATCTGACTAGTATATATATAGTCTCAACTTTGACAAAAGTAGCAATTTTGTCCATATCTAATTTTCTCAAGTTTTTGTCCTTATTTTTTGAGAAATAACAAACACCATTCCGCTTTTGTCAACTTTCATCTCTATTTTTTGAGGGTATGCAACCTAATTTCATCTAAAAAATGATCATGAAATTCAATTGGGCATAGGAACAAAAGAGAATAGATTCATTTTGAGAATTATGAAAATTATTTTAAAATCCACAGTAATTGTTGAATTTCTAATTATTTTAATTGCATTGTCATTATCCTTTATATTTTAATCGTGAAAATTATTTTTTTTAAAAAAATCTCGCTTGTTATATAATATTTTTTTTGTCTCAATGTTAGTGGTCAAGTTGAGTAGGGCTACTAGACCTCACCCATATTTCTACTTCATTTTATTTTTAGTTAATTTTTTGAGGAAAAATAATCACAATTTGCCCAAATAAGTTGTACACTTAGACTGCCTCTCTTGACCATCTTGCTTGTGACACTGTCCAAACTCTATAATTACATCTTGAATCATTAATAACTGGCTGTCTTTGTTATTGAATAAGCAAATGTCGCAATCTAAAAATTATCTACAACCACTTTTTGGCTATACCACAAAGCCACACGAAAATTCATCAGCATAACCCCACCGCTTAAAATTTTGTCCTATGCAAGTCAACGGTTATACCAAGTCTTTTCTCACTTTGAAAAGTAATCAATAATTCATTAGAAACCTCGAATTGGATATTGGTTCAGTTCTTGAATATCATTTCAACTTCTGAACTCTTTTGATCATCTCCCAAAAAAATGAACTTTCTCTCACATGATCTGCTAGCACCTGTTTTAGGACTTCTATCCATGCTGCTGCTATTTTATCTATGGAGCAGAAAAAGTAAGGGTAAGGGCAGGGCCGGTCCTGTGATCCGTGGG